CAGCCATAGCCCACACCCGGCGAACTGACTCAGTCAGAGGCCATCGTTCGCCATTGGTCTCGGCGATGGACTTTTGAAAACTTGTCTTGCTTTAATTGCTTTTCGCTGTAGCTCTGCTCGAATAAGGCTATTGTCCGTCCGGTTTTCTTTTTTTCGGAACAGCACATCGGGAGTCACGCGCTGCTTTTCACCTTTTACTTTGGCTCGATTCTCGAATTCCTTCTTGAAATTTCTATTTGCCAGGTGAAAAACGGTGCTTCTCCCCAATAAAATTTATATGAAAACTTAAACGGGGACAGAACGAGCTTAATAGGAAAAATGCATATGCGCCGCGCTCTTGGCCGGGAAAGTGCCCCGAAAAGGGCCTCTCCTTTTCACTTTTTCCCGAAGTGCCTGTGTGCGCCACTTGCCAAATAGCTGCCAGTGCAAATAACTCACAAAACTATACAGATATACATAAATATGCCATATACACGCTATATATATATACGCTTTATATACATATATATGCATGAATATATCTCAAGAGCAGCTGCAGCTGCACGACACCTAAGTAGAAGAAAAGGAGAAAAAGAGAGGTTCTGTGGGGCACTTGTCTCAAGTCGTGTCGGATTGAAATCCTTCCCCTTACCCCCCTTACGCCCCCTTCCTCTTCTAGTTCTGGCTGCCATTTAACAGTTTCAGAAGAAAGAAGGCCCAAGTCTCGGGTTCCCAGTCCTTGGCGCTCTTTGTGCCCCGACTTGAAGCTGGCTCGCAGTTAAATTATGCGTTAGTTAAGCTTTAGGGGATGGGGAGGATGAGGAGGGGCAGGGGACTCCCCTGGCGTCGACAGGAAAAGTTTTTAAGTATTTTCTAAAAAAGGCCAGAGCAGTCACCTTAAAACCCGTTTATTCACATGGTCAACACCATGATTAAGACGCTAATTGTAGGTCAAAACAGGAGTGTTGAGCCAGAAAAGCGGGCTTAAACGTCCGGGAATTTGTCAGTTGACTGCTTAATATTAGATTTCTTTTATCACCATTTCACGCCATCTAAATTTAAGAACTTCGGGGGCCTTTAGGAGGTTTTCCTCCTCATAATTCTTATTATGTTCTTTGAAAATTAAATAAGTGGAAAGGGGAAGCGACTTCCTTCTCCTGGCTGGCTCCTCCGATGGTGGTATAAATCATTGTCCTGGAGGAGCCTGCACTAAATGACTTCATCGCAAGCAAATAAAATATCAATAACGTCAAAAGTGCAATAAATCATCAGCGCAGCTCCTGGTTTTGGTTGAGGAGGTGCAGAGGTGGGGCAAGTTATGGGTATGCGGATGAGGATGAGGATGAAGCTTCGTATGAGGGGCCGGAACTCTCGGTCAGTCGGGCACATTTCATTTTGACGCCGAAATTGAAAATGGAAAATGCAAATTGTTTGTGCCGCGCACAAAAGTATGCAAAAATAGCTCCGGTCAGAGGTGATCACGCTCCAGGGGATAGGGGCCGTGGCAAGTGAGGTGAGACGGTTTCCAAGAGCTGACTGAAAACTGTAGGTCGCCATGGAGTGTCAGGTAGAAATTGGATCGAACCTTGAATAAAATGCGACTTAATATGAAAGCCAAAGTTTGGCAAATGTTAAATCCTGCTAAATGGTCTCATTTAAGGTGCTTTTTTGACAGTACAAATATTATACAGACCTTTTAGGATGTATTTTCAGTACTAACTTTCAAGAGTTACCTGCATTTCCTTTATTTCACAGCATAACTAATTTATTGCCCACTCCCAATATTTCACACCAGCACAGTTATATGGCCCACAGTGAGTGCGTGCTCGCAGGATAAGCAGCCGGCGGAGCTTTCGAAATTATGTGCACACACCTTGGGGCATAGTAATTATTTGGTGCCCCGAGCCGAACATTTTTGTCTGCCAATCGAATTTCCCACTGGGCAGGAGATTTTACTCGGCATATAGGTTACTATATATGACCGAAAAGAACCTGACCGGGCACTCTGCGTTCTGCGCTCTGCCCTCTGCGCTCTACGCTCTGTCGGGTCCATCTTTCTGCACTTTTCATTTTTGATTGCGAACAACAAACATTTTTCCTGGCTTAAATTTGTCCAAATAGTCGTCGGGCGTGGGGAATGAGGCATGGAGCATATATGCTATACACACTGTACACACTGTACATACACACACAGACAGCAAAAGTACTTATCCAGATATATGTTTGTGGAAAAATGCTATGCATTTTTGGCTGTTGGCTGTTGGTTGTTGGCTTTCGGTGGCGTTGACAATTTGCATTTTTAAATTTCGTTTTCAATTTGGACATTCCCCCCGCACCCCCTAACCCATGCAGAAAAACCAAGGACAGAAAGAGAGAGTGAGCTGTGCGAGAGGGAGACGAGGGTGCGAGTGTTTAGCCTAGTGATTGTTGATTTTAATTTATTATTGTTTATTGATAAAATGTTCGCTGCAAATTTGCATAAATCGATAAATAATGGCCCGGCAAAAGGCGAAGTTTAGATATTTATTGCATTTAGTCTGTCCTTTGACCCCTCCACCTTCCTTTCCACGGCCTTTTTGGTTGCTCTGCTTTTGCTTTCAATTTCCGCCGAGCATTTTACCGAATTAACTGGATTTGGTTGCCTTTGTTTGCATGGCGATTGGCGCTTGGCGATTGGCAGCATCATGGTCAGGATATTGGCTAAAAGGAGGGTTTTCGCAAAGGGGCATCCCCTCCCCGTTTTCTATTTACCATTTTCCATTTACCATTTTCCATTTCTCAGCTGGCAGTTAGCGGAAGCCATGTGGTTGCGATCGCACTGAAGTCTGCTTAACTTTTAAACCCTTTGCCGCCACTGGCAGGCAAAACAAAGGAAATGAAAGCGGCAAGAGCCCACCCTTCCGGGCCCTTGTTCTGTGTAATCTATGTCCTATCCATATTTTAATTCAATTCATTCGCCATTGCAGCCGGTAGAGATTTTCTTGATATCAACCTGCTTAATATCTCAGTTTGTATCATTGTTTGCTTGGTGGACTACAGAAATGTCTGTGACTTGAAACAGTTCTCTGCTTTTCAAACTTGTTACTCAGTTTTGGGGACTTTTTCGATGTACCACTCATTACCAGTTCCTGTCCAAGGTTCCTTTGAGAATAATGATATTTGTTTACAGGGAATATCCCGTAGTCGCCATATCGGTGGCATTAAAATGCTGTACATTTTTGTTTGGATTTTGTCTTTGAGGTACCGCTTCTCTTCTATGTTTTCCCGCCCTCGAACCTTGCCCCTATTGGCGTCTGCCCTTATTTTCGCTTCTAACCGCTCAGCCCTCTGGGAGACTCTCCTCTGGCTTCAACGCTTCCCTTCTGTGGCTCTGCGTTTTTTCCGATTTCCGTTATGTGCAAGCGAGAGGGTGGGCCTCGGACACCTACCTACCACCGCTGGGAATCACTTTTTGCCTGTCTTCGGGTTCTTTGCAAGCGCTTGTCCGCCACAGCGAAAAAATATTGGGTTATCATCTTAAATCGAAATCAAATTGTTGTTTAAAAGGGTTTAATAGAAATCGAAGGAGTGTTCTGCTCTGTACAAATAAACCTATAAAACTTAAATATTATATTTCATGACAACTAATGTGACTGATTTGTCGTCCTTATTCTACTTCGGGCTGTTTAAGTTTTGGTCCCCGAATGATGGGAATAATTTTCATGTTTTTTTCCGACTAGTTTTTCCGCTCGACACTTCTCGACTTCCCTGGCATCCGTTTTCCATACAGCTCACCCCTTTTTCTTGGGCTGCTGCTGTTTTTCTGCATTTATTTTTCAATTCCTCTGTGTGGTTTGTGGTTTCCTATCGCTCACTCCATCCTTGTATCCGGACCGGCCCATGGATTCTTTCTCGCCTTTTGTGTTGGACCCAGACTCCCTGTTCACCCCTGCTGATGCCAATGCATAATTCTTTTATCTCAGCCCGGCCGCTTGCTGAGCTCCCTTCTTCGCCCTTTCTATCCACTCCTCCTCCATTCTCGTGTACTTTTGCTGCTATTGATGGCTTGTTTACATTGTACCGCGCTCGCAACTCCCAGGCCATTTGTCTATAATTGACTAATCGACAGGGCTGGCGGGAAAAGAAGCGTCGTGTATGGTAGGCGACCGGCTGGAGAGGATGCAAGTGTGGCTGGTAAATGGTGAAAGGGCTAAAGTGGATGAAGCAAAAGGAACTGTGTCATTGGGACTGCATGAAGGGGTAGCTAAAGTTAATATTAAAGCCACAAAGTGTTCACTAGAGTATTGCAAATTTGAACTAAACGTGCCTTAAGTAGCACAATCTTAAAGTAACTAACAACAGTTTATAATACCTAATATGGGTAAGCCTGTAAATCTTGTTTCTAATAACTGATTGGCCATAGTTTCCTCGTTCAAAAACTAGCAAACTTTGCGCAAATATTGGCCAGGTGGATGTGAGAGTGTGGCTGTGGGTGAGCTGGTCTCTCTGGGCGGTTAATTAGATTGCAAGCAATAATATTGCATGAGCCGGCAATCGGGCGACTTTGCTTCCCATGGGCGTGGTTGGTCGGGGGAAGCTGCAGGATGCTGAGGGAGAGGAAGTGGTCACGCACACACCCGCTCATGCAAACACTCGCACGCTGTGTACACTTACATGTAATTAGCATTTCCTGTTTGGTTTGCCAATCTTGCACGCACACACATACAGCTGCAACGAGGGGGTGAAAGGTGATTGGGGCAACGAGGGAAACGCGGGGGAGGCACACATAATTAGGCTGGCCAAAAATCAAACGCCATCTGCATTCAAATTCAATTTGAGATTGCAGTGCAGATTCGGATGCATTCAGCACTGACCAAAAATGTTTCAATCTAAGAATTGATAATGTTTGAGGATTCTGGAAGTCTCTGATAGGTGGATAGTTTATAGTATTATAAATATAAAGAATTTTGTTCTTGTTATCATAAAAAATGTTGTTTTGATTTGAAGAAAATGCTAAAGCAAATATCTTTTACTCTTTCCAGATTTTGAACACAACGTACTGTTTCGGAAAAGGTTTACATGATGTCAACGGTGTATAATTTATAGTCTAAGGGCAAGTTCTTATGGATGTGCGTCTTGTTTTGAGCAAGCTAGAGCTAAAAACCGGGGCATAATATAGAAAATTTTTGTTAAAAATGGGTTTCCTGAACTAAGGACCTGCTAATTAAGGCCATCTTGACTGCAAAAAAACCGTGCTCTTATGTCAACGGACGTATACTCGATTTTTGTCGGAAAAAAGTCTGTTTTTTTTTCGTCATAGCACAGCCAAAAATGGTCCAAATAAGAAATATAATACCTCATAGGGCTCGTAACTTAATTGCCATGATTCCCAATTGGTTTGCATTCAAATCTGGGAAACTTCAATTTTGGCCCATTTTTGAAAATTTTGATGATGGTACCCCTTATCAAAAATGCGAAATTTGGGCCAAAATTGATTTTCCCAAAATCGAAAAACGAGTGATAGGGGTGGTTAGTATTGGTCGTTAGCAGCATAAAACAGTCGTTCTTTTGACTGTGCGTCTTGTTTTGACCGAGCTAGAGCTAAAAAACCGAAAATAATATTGCAAGTTTCTGTTAAAAATCGGTTTTCCGATTTTTAGCCCTTAAAACAGAGCTCGCACCAAAAAATCAAAACAATAACGCAAAAAGTAAGTATAGGGGTGTTAAGTTTCGAAAGTTAGCTGCATAAAACAGTCATTGCTTTAGCCGTGCGGCTTGTTTTGACAAAGTTAGAGCTAAGAAACTGATAAAAAATCCGTGCTCTTCTGTCAAAGCACGTATACTCGATTTTGGGCGGAAAAAGGTCAGTTTTTTCCTCATAGCACAGCCAAAAATGGTCCAAATAAGAAATGTAATACCTTGTAGGGCTCGTAACTTGATTGCCATGATTCCCAATTGGTTTGCATTCAAACCTGGGAAACTTCAATTTTGGCCCATTTTTGAAAATTTTGATGATGGTACCCCTTATCAAAAATGCGAAATTTGGGCCAAAATTGATTTTCCCAAAATCGAAAGACGATTGATAGGGGTGGTCTTAGCAGCATAAAACAGTCGTTCTTTAGGCTGTGCGTCTTGTTTGAGCTAGAACTAAAAAACAGAAACTAATATTGCAAATTTCTGTTAAAAATCGGTTTTTCGATTTTTTAGCCCTTAAAACAGAGCTCGCACCAAAAAATCAGAACAATAACGCAAAAAGTAAGTATAGGGGTGTTAAGTTTCGAAAGTTAGCTGCATAAAACAGTCATTGCTTTAGCCGTGCGGCTTGTTTTGACAAAGTTAGAGCTAAGAAACTGATAAAAAATCCGTGCTCTTCTGTCAAAGCACGTATACTCGATTTTGGGCGGAAAAAAGTCAGTTTTTTCCTCATAGCACAGCCAAAAATGGTCCAAATAAGAAATGTAATACCTTGTAGGGCTCGTAACTTGATGGCCATGATTCCCAATTGGTTTGCATTAAAATCTGGGAAACTTCAATTTTGGCCCATTTTTGAAAATTTTGATGATGGTACCCCTTATCAAAAATGCGAAATTTGGGCCAAAATTGATTTTCCCAAAATCGAAAAACGAGTGATAGGGGTGGTTAGTATTGGTCGTTAGCAGCATAAAACAGTCGTTCTTTTGACTGTGCGTCTTGTTTTGACCGAGCTAGAGCTAAAAACCGAAAATAATATTGCAAAAAATCCGTGCTCTTCTGTCAAAGCACGTATACTCGATTTTGGGCGGAAAAAAGTCAGTTTTTTCCTCATAGCACAGCCAAAAATGGTCCAAATAAGAAATGTAATACCTCGTAGGGCTCGTAACTTAATTGCCATGATTCCCAATTGGTTTGCATTAAAATCTGGGAAACTTCAATTTTGGCCCATTTTTGAAAATTTTGATGATGGTACCCCTTATCAAAAATGCAAAATTTTGGGCCAAAATTGATTTTCCCAAAATCGAAAAACGAGTGATAGGGGTGGTTAGTATTGGTCGTTAGCAGCATAAAACAGTCGTTCTTTTGACTGTGCGTCTTTTTTTGACCGAGCTAGAGCTAAAAAACCGAAAATAATATTGCAAATTTCTGTTAAAAATCGGTTTTCCGAATTTTTAGCCCTTAAAACAGAGCTCGCACCAAAAAATCAGAACAATAACGCAAAGAGTAAGTATAGGGGTGTTAAGTTTCGAAAGTTAGCTGCATAAAACAGTCATTGCTTTAGCCGTGCGGTTTGTTTTGACAAAGTTAGAGCTAAGAAACTGATAAAAAATCCGTGCTCTTCTGTCAAAGCACGTATACTCGATTTTGGGCGGAAAAAAGTCAGTTTTTTCCTCATAGCACAGCCAAAAATGGTCCAAATAAGAAATGTAATACCTCGTAGGGCTCGTAACTTAATTGCCATGATTCCCAATTGGTTTGCATTCAAATCTGGGAAACTTCAATTTTGGCCCATTTTTGAAAATTTTGATGATGGTACCCCTTATCAAAAATGCGAAATTTGGGTCAAAATTGATTTTCCCAAAATCGAAAGACGATTGATAGGGGTGGTTATTATTGGTCGTTAGCAGCATACAACAGTCGTTCTTTTGACTGTGCGTCTTGTTTGACCGAGCTAGAACTAAAAAACAGAAACTAATATTGCAAATTTCTGTTAAAAATCGGTTTTCCGAATTTTTAGCCCTTAAAACAGAGCTCGCACCAAAAAATCAGAACAATAACGCAAAAAGTAAGTATAGGGGTGTTAAGTTTCGAAAGTTAGCTGCATAAAACAGTCATTGCTTTAGCCGTGCGGTTTGTTTTGACAAAGTTAGAGCTAAGAAACTGATAAAAAATCCGTGCTCTTCTGTCAAAGCACGTATACTCGATTTTGGGCGGAAAAAAGTCAGTATTTTCCTCATAGCACAGCCAAAAATGGTCCAAATAAGAAATGTAATACCTCGTAGGGCTCGTAACTTAATTGCCATGATTCCCAATTGGTTTGCATTCAAATCTGGGAAACTTCAATTTTGGCCCATTTTTGAAAATTTTGATGATGGTACCCCTTATCAAAAATGCGAAATTTGGGTCAAAATTGATTTTCCCAAAATCGAAAGACGATTGATAGGGGTGGTTATTATTGGTCGTTAGCAGCATACAACAGTCGTTCTTTTGACTGTGCGTCTTGTTTGACCGAGATAGAACTAAAAAACAGAAACTAATATTGCAAATTTCTGTTAAAAATTGGTTTTTCGATTTTTTAGCCCTTAAAACAGAGCTCGCACCAAAAAATCAGAACAATAACGCAAAAAGTAAGTATAGGGGTGTTAAGTTTCGAAAGTTAGCTGCATAAAACAGTCATTGCTTTAGCCGTGCGGCTTGTTTTGACAAAGTTAGAGCTAAGAAACTGATAAAAAATCCGTGCTCTTCTGTCAAAGCACGTATACTCGATTTTGGGCGGAAAAAAGTCAGTTTTTTCCTCATAGCACAGCCAAAAATGGTCCAAATAAGAAATGTAATACCTTGTAGGGCTCGTAACTTGATTGCCATGATTCCCAATTGGTTTGCATTCAATTACTGGCCCATTTTTGAAAATTTTGATGATGGTACCCCTTATCAAAAATTCGAAATTTGGGCCAAAATTGATTTTCCCAAAATCGAAAAACGAGTAATAGGGGTGGTTAGTATTGCTCGTTAGCAGCATAAAACAGTCGTTCTTTTGACTGTGCGTTTCGAAAGTTAGCTGCATAAAACATTCATTGCTTTAGCCGTGCGGCTTGTTTTAGCAAAGTTAGAGCTAAGAAACAGAAATTCCCGATTGGTTTGCATTCAAATCTGGGAAACTTCAATTTTGGCCCATTTTTGAAAATTTTGATGATGGTACCCCTTATCAAAAATGCAAAATTTGGGCCAAAATTGATTTTCCCAAAATCGAAAAACGAGTGATAGGGGTGGTTAGTATTGGTCGTTAGCAGCATAAAACAGTCGTTCTTTTGACTGTGCGTCTTGTTTTGACCGAGCTAGAGCTAAAAAACCGAAAATAATATTGCAAGTTTCTGTTAAAAATCGGTTTTCCGATTTTTTAGCCTTTAAAACAGAGCTCGCACCAAAAATTCAGAAAAATAACGCAAAAAGTAAGTATAGGGGTGTTAAGTTTCGAAAGTTAGCTGCATAAAACAGTCATTGCTTTAGCCCTGCGGCTTGTTTTGACAAAGTTAGAGCTAAGAAACTGATAAAAAATCCGTGCTCTTCTGTCAAAGCACGTATACTCGATTTTGGGCGGGAAAAAGTCAGTTTTTTCCTCATAGCACAGCCAAAAATGGTCCAAATAAGAAATGTAATACCTTGTAGGGCTCGTAACTTGATTGCCATGATTCCCAATTGGTTTGCATTCAAATCTAGGAAACTTCAATTTTGGCCCATTTTTGAAAATTTTGATGATGGTACCCCTTATCAAAAATGCGAAATTTGGGCCAAAATTGATTTTCCCAAAATCGAAAAACGAGTGATAGGGGTGGTTAGTATTGGTCGTTAGCAGCATAAAACAGTCGTTCTTTTGACTGTGCGTCTTGTTTTGACCGAGCTAGAGCTAAAAAACCGAAAATAATATTGCAAGTTTCTGTTAAAAATCGGTTTTCCGATTTTTTAGCCTTTAAAACAGAGCTCGCACCAAAAATTCAGAAAAATAACGCAAAAAGTAAGTATAGGGGTGTTAAGTTTCGAAAGTTAGCTGCATAAAACAGTCATTGCTTTAGCCCTGCGGCTTGTTTTGACAAAGTTAGAGCTAAGAAACTGATAAAAAATCCGTGCTCTTCTGTCAAAGCACGTATACTCGATTTTGGGCGGGAAAAAGTCAGTTTTTTCCTCATAGCACAGCCAAAAATGGTCCAAATAAGAAATGTAATACCTTGTAGGGCTCGTAACTTAATTGCCATGATTCCCAATTGGTTTGCATTCAAATCTGGGAAACTTCAATTTTGGCCCATTGAATTTTTGAAAATTTTGATGATGGTACCCCTTATCAAAAATGCGAAATTTGGGCCAAAATTGATTTTCCCAAAATCGAAAAACGAGTGATAGGGGTGGTTAGTATTGGTCGTTAGCAGCATAAAACAGTCGTTCTTTTGACTGTGCGTCTTGTTTTGACCGAGCTAGAGCTAAAAAACCGAAAATAATAT